ATTTGGATTTCACCAAATCCATTTTGACGCAAATCCAGCGCCAATTCTTCCTCCAACCCAACACCAAACTTAGCGTCATTTTAAAAGGGTGCTACAGTGTTACGCCAGGAATGACGTAACACTGTAGATATGGAGATTTTGGTTTTTCCCAAGTTTGTCCTTATAGTTTGTTATAACAAATCAAATATTCTAACCATATCCCATTTTATAGTTTGTAAATAAAAGGAGAATATTCTTTTTAATGTAAAATTTGATGTAATGGTTGGAGATGGAATAATGATTTGGTGTAAAAACTACACCATTTTGGGTTTTTGGGTTGTAGATGCTCTTAACTGGAAAATGAGCATAAACAACACAACTGTTGGAGTTGATTCATCAGAAACATAAAAACGTATGATAATCAGTAGCGCACAATTTTTTAATTAAATAACAATATTTTGAAAGAAGAGGTTTTTTTGACAATATTTTACTTTTTTAATAGAAACTAAGTTTCATAGACAAATCAATTTTATTTAAAAATAAATTGAATTCCTTTTCAAATTTTATAAGTTTAAAGATCTTCTCCGCATGTATAATTTTTTTTGAATTTTTCCAACTTTAAAATCGTAATTCTCAGAAACATATGTTTCCCTATGTTTATCCAGAAGAGTTGGATTGTATGTAGATCAGAGGAGGTTGATCTGATTTTGTAAGATCCGAGAGTTCAATTTTCTTTTTTCTTTTCTTTCTTTTTTTTCCAGCATCTTGATGTCAATTTCCATCAAGAAACACCACGCGCGGTGAAGCTGTTTTCTTTTCTGTTAACAAATTGATAATTACGCGTCGGTGAGATGCTACTGAGCAATGTAACTGCTCCAACAAACCGCTGCTATATATATTACTAACGGTTAATTATTTGCAGTTAATTACCTAAAAGTTACTCGAGTAATATTAATGTTATGACTACGGTTTGATATAATCTGTCTCTTGATAATGACGCGTCGGTGAGATGCTACTGAGCAGCGTAACTGCTCCAACAAACCGCTGCTATATATATTACTAATGGTTAATTATTTGCAGTTAATTATCCAAAAGTTACTCGAGTAATATTAATGTTATGACTACGGTTTGATAATCTGTCTCTTGATAATGACGCGTCGGTGAGATGCTACTGAGCAGTGTAACCGCACCAATGAACCGCTGCTATATAATCTGATTTTGTAAGATCTGAGAATTCATTTTTTTCTTTTTTCTTTTTGAATTGATAAGATCGGTGCTAAGTTGCTCTGGATGGATGCGAGCAGCCTCTTGATGTCCGAAAGATTACTTTTTTACTTCTAAATTTTTTTTGTTACTTCTTTAAATATTGCACTTAATGTGAACTGCGGGTTCTTGGATAGTTAGATTGTACGTATATCAGAGGTTGATCTGATTTTGTAAGATCTGAGAATTTATTCTTTCTTTTACATAACATCTAGTAGACGAGTTTCATTGAAAAGATTTCAGTTATCATCCAGTTGCTTGTATGGAGTTATTTACCTATATACCCGTTAATCTGTTATATTCCTAAATTTGTCCTTCAAATCTGATCAATATTTAGTAAGCTTGTACGATTGAAATTAGTGCAATTCGGAGGGATTATATTATTTGTTAGTCGGAGATGAATGACTATTATAAATAATAGTCATGTAGTGGGGTTCGATATATGTGTGATTTCAAGATATATGTGTGATTTCAATGCTCTCAGCATTGTTACAAAGTCACACCATTTCATGTCTCACTAAATGAAGTTTTACCGCTAATTT